ATGGGGAAGCTGTTCTCTCAGAGAATGTTGTTTAGTCTGAAGCTTGTCTGTGGGATATGTATGTGGACATTTGCACAGGTGGAACTGAGGTGTAAGTTCAAGGCCAGATGTGCAGATTCCAGATCAGCTATAGATAGGGGAGATTGGAAGGGAGTAGGGGACAGGAGGGAAGAGAGACACTGAGGACTGATACTAAAGCAGTTCATGGTTAGGGTAGGAGGAAGAGCCAGCCAATGAGCCAGAGACAGGCAGTAAGAAAGTAGGCAGAGAACTAGGAGCCTCAAATGAGAGTGTCATAGTAGCCAGAGAAGGAAAGCATTGAAGAAGAAGGTATCCGAAACCGTGGAAAGTCAGGAAGGATGAGGGCTGACCAAAGGCTGTAGACCTTGGCCAGAAAGAATCAGGGGTTTTTGAGAATGTGTTTTCAGTAATGAGCTAGGAAAACAGGTCAGCTCATAGAAACCAAAGAAGTGAGTGAGGAAACAAAAGCTGGGGAAAGAAGAAGAAAAAAAAATGGGAAACTGGAGGAGAAAGCCAAATTGAATGAAGGCCTTTCCCCCAAGATTGAGAGAGTAAGTGCAAGGCACTAGTGCAGAGGAAGAAGTTAGAGGGTGAAGTTGCCCACGGGGACCTAGAGCCCAAGCTCTTCAGTGAGACCCTCCTGCTCTCAGATGCCAGCTCTGCCCCACTACTGCCTAGTGACTCACCTTGCAGAGTCACTATTTCACTTGTAAAATGGGTACAATAATATTTATTTTGTAGGTTCAGTATGATGATAAAGAAGGATCAACATGTGAGGTGATTGATAGGATACCTGGCATATTTAAGAGTTCAGTAAGCAGGCAGGGTTTGGTGGCTCACACCTGTAATTCTAGCAGTCCGTGAGGCCAAGGTGAGAGGATTACCTGAGCTCAGGAGTTTGAGACCCGCCTGAGCAAGGCCAGGAGTTACAGTGGGCTCCTGTAGTCCCATCTACTTGGGAGACTGAGGCAAAAGAATAGCTTGAGCCTGAGAGTTTGAGGTTGCTATGAGCTATGACACCAGGGTACTCAACCCCAAGGGAACAGAGTGAGACTGTCTCAAAAAGAAAGAAAAAAAAGAATTCAGTAAACATAACTGCTGTTATTGTAGCTATTTTTATATGAACATTATTAGCTAGACCAGTTGTACAAATAAATAAAGACATAATGTACACAAAAGTTATACAAGTATATTTAAATGTCAATAAGACCTCAGTAAATATCATTTTTTTTAATGTTTTTCTTCTTGTCTCTGGATAAGTTATGTAAACAAATACACAATAAAACTCTACCACAGTAAATAAAGTCCAAAAATTAATTTTATGAACTCTGGTGTTGTATTATTGTGAAGTTAATTGAAAACAGTGTTTTATCAGTAGGTGGTGGTGTCATAAAATTAAAGGTTGTGAGACTTCCACAGTGCAAAACTGACCTTACATTGAACTGAGAAATTCCCAAGTGATTCTGAGTCAAACCCCTCCTAACTTACACACCACCTTTGAATTCTATCCCACTCCATTCTGAAATTGGGCTTATGTAGGATGGAAAGGGGACAGTAGCCAAACACCATCATATTATAGCCAAATTCACACTATTATTATGCTACATGTTATTTTTAAATGTATTTTTGTGTATTTTAAAAGCATGTACTATTTTTTTTTTTTAGATTTACTAGGTATATCTATATTCTGTTCATTTCAGCAACTCTCCCTTAAGTGTTTAATATGTGTCAGTAAGAAAGTAGGCAGAGAGGGCGGCTCCTGTGGCTCAGTAGGTAGGGCGCCAGCCCCATATACCAAGGGTGGTGGGTTCAAACCCAGCCCCCACCAAATTGCAACAAAAAATAGCGGGTGTTGTGGCAGGCACCTGTAGTCCCAGCTACTCGGGAGGCTGAGGCAAGAGAATCACTTAAGCCCAGGAGTTGGAGGTTGCTGTGAGCT